ACCCTTGAGTAGTCATGTTAATAAAAGTGTAAAGCCTGGCCTGCTTGGCTCAGTGATTGAACATCGACCTATGAACTATTAGGAGGTCAGGGTTTGTCAGGGCACATGCCCAGGTTGTGAGCTCTATCCCCAGTGTGGGGCGTCGGGGAGCAGCTTTTCTCTCTCTCTCTCTCTCTCTCTCCCTTCCTCTCTGAAATCAATAAAAATATTTTTTACAAATATAGAACTGTAAATAAAGCCATAACTCATCATTGTGCTCTGGAAACAATTTCTAGCTACAGAACATGCTTAAACTATAACCTTGATATATATGAGAAACTGGTTGGTTGGTAATCCAAGTAATTCTATTTAATTCATGATTACATCTAATTCAAAATCAGAAATAATATCTCAAAAATTAAATGAAGCTAAAATTAATATGTAGGTTTTCAGTAAGTTTATGCAATTTTGCCAAGCTTGGAGGAAAATATTAGCAATAATACGTTTATTTTCACAGAAATGTCATGTTAGCAGGTGTTCTAGAAAATGTTACTTTTTATAGAGTGCCCATTTAGCAAAAGTGAAATGACCATATGTGGAAATAAGCACTTTACAAGATGATCAGATGGTGAAATAATACCAGAACTAGTAATTAACAAGCACACTTTTATAACAGAACTACTACAAAAGATGCCACATTTCAGACTATCATGTATATTTTAAAATAGGTTGTATACTGACTGAAGGTTTATCAATGTTGATAAAATAAGAATCTTAGAAGTATTTTTTGTGTTAAACAGTAAGAATGCATTTATTGTGTACCCTCCATCCCCCATGCAATCTCATGGGTGTGCTCTTAAAAATGATATCCTTTATATTAACTTGATTCAGTATCCTGAATAGAGCCAGGAACCGGTATTTTTACAAAGTACCTCAGGGGATTTGATGAGTGGCCAAGTTTGGGAATCCCTACATTAATTAACAGGGTAGTTTTAAAGAACATCAGGCTTTGCAGCCAGAAACAACCCCAAACAAATTCCTACTCTAACCTTTATAGACTAAGTGGGCTTGGGCAAGCTATTTAGTTTCCCTAAAGATCAAACATACTTTTCTAAAATGAGAACAATGCCTTGAACACAGAACATTGTTAAGTATTAAGAGAAAATGTATATAAATACTTACAATATGTATGTAAATATTAAATAGATGTTAACTGATAATAACTATTTTAACTGCTCAAACCATCCACCTCTCCCCCATTCCCTACCTTTGTTCCTGCTCCTCTGTCAAGCTGGTATCTCCCATTTTTCCCCTGCTTTTTTTTTTGTTTTAAATACTTTAATTGGTTTCAGAGAGGAAGGGAGCAAGAGAGAGAAACAGAAACATCAATGATGAGAGAGAATCATTGATCTGCTGCCTCCTGCACACCCAACACTGGAGATTGAGCTCCCAACCCGGGCATGTGCCCCGACCAGGAATTGAACCGTAACTTCCAGGTTCATAGCTCAACATTCAACCACTGAGCCACGCTGGCTGGGCAAACTTGTAAACCTTTAAGCCACTCTTTCGATCTCTTCCAACAAGCCTCCACCCACGCAGACACCATCTCCCTTCTCATTCTCTAGACTAGGCCAAGTACTCGTCCTCTATGCTTACACATCACTCTGTGCTTATTTCTCTTCATTCATGAAATAATATTCATTGAACACCTATGATATACTAGACACTGAAGACACAGTAGAGAACAAAACTGATGTACTGACATTCTAATAGAAAATAAGAATATTTAGTGTCTGTTTTCCCTTACTAAATACTAAGTCCTTCACATCTATATCAAGTTCATTTTTATATCTCTGGCATTGAACAATGTCTCGCATAAAGGAGATATTAATAAATGCTCTTAACTAAAAAGATGAAAGGCTTAATTAATGAAAGTAAGTTCTGGAGAAGAAAAAAGTGGATGAGGTCATGAATACAAATGAGAAAAGGAGCGCTCTTCTACTAAAATAACAGGGAAGGCGGGAAAGGAGTGTTAAACATGTGTTTCAAGGTAGAGGCAACAAGCTGAGGGAGTTCAGGGCTAATGATTACCATTTTTAAGAATACAAAGCAAGATCCTCTACTGAGAATAAGGAGGTTGAAGTTAGATCAAACAGTTTTAAGCAAAGTTCCTCCCCGCACACACACAAGCCAGTAGGAGGCTAAAGTAGACATTCATGGATGCCTCCGCCTTCTCCTCTGCCTCTTCCCCCTCCCCCTCCACCTCATCTTCCACCTCGCTCTCCTGCTTTTCCCCTCCTCTTCCTCTCCTTTTCCTTTTTTTTTTTTTTTTTTTTTTGGCAACCAGGATCCAAATACTTCCTATTTTGAGGGAATTCCTGTTGTGTGTATTAGCAGAATACAATGTCATCTCACTAAGGAAGCCAAAAAGGATAGATCTTCCCTCTCCCAGTCTTCGGGTAGTAAAGGAATAGGAACGTGACCCAGGCTCAGCCAATCAATATTCTTGTGCAGGATTTTGAATTTTAAGAAGCTAATACAAAAAAGTAGGGAGTTTTTGAATTACATATGGGGATGGAAAAAGCAATAACAGCAAGAATTTAGTTAACATTGGTTCAAGGGCAGCAGTACTGTTAGAGACAGAAATAGAATATTGGGGACTAGCTATTAGTTGTAAGAAATATTAATCATGCTCTGTTAACCACAATTGTTTTATTCTGATTTAAAAAAGCACACTCACCCGCCGTGGCTCAGTGGTTGAGTGTTGACCTATGAACCAAGCACTCATGGTTCAATTCCTTGGCATTTCTTCATCAGTTTTCATGCCTGGGTTGCAGGCTTGATCCCCAGGGTGGGGCATGCAGGAGGCAGCCAATCAACAATCCTCTTTCATCACTGATGTTTCTCTCTCTCTCTCCCTTCCTCTCTGAAATAAATAAAAACAGATTTAAAAAAAATAAGAGAGAAAGCACATTCTAACCTGGCTGGGGGTTGAACACCCTGGAACTTGGGAGTCAACCTTGGAATGGGGTCCATTCTCATCCAAGAACTGCCTATTATCACAGAAAGATTAACAACATTGTTGCCCAAATAATGATGGCCTGCCCAGAGCCCACATTGCCTGCAATGTGTAACCATTATGTCCATATTTTTTTCCTCTTGCCTACTTTCCCATGTAATCTTTCTCCTACCGAATATAAGCAGCTGGCTTATGGAGGGGGGCAGAGCAGATTTTGATGGATGACCTGCTGTTCTCCCATGCTGCCGCCAGGACTGGAATAAACACTCACATATGACTCAACACCGGCTCTGCTTAATTGGCTTAAATAGTGACAGGCAGCCTGGTCCCATTGGTTGTCCAGTTTCAGCACAGCAGTAGAAAATTAACCAAACTGTCCTTGTAGCATGCCCTTGGCCGTACAACCTCCTTGGTTTGGGCTGGTTGTGTTGTCCAAGTTCATTCTCCAGATTCCCTGTTGATTTTGTGAGCTCCCTGCTAACTTCTAATAAATTCCTTTTCTACTTACATTAGCCACTATCTGTTTTATTTGGTTGATAAATTGGGACGGGGAGAGATAGAAGGATTGAAGAAATCAGAGGTCTTGATAAGGTCCAACAGCAGGTAATTTATGTAAGGAAACAGAACACCAGTGGAAAGCTGGGAGATTGTGGTCAGTTGATAGTATAAAAGGGTCAGGATTTCAAAGTGTCTCATGTTATGCCTAGATTTCAAGATCCCCAAAAGCCCACCAGGGAGCCAGCCGAGTCCGATGCAAAAGCAAAGAGTCTTTATTCGACCTAGCTCAGCTCCCCAACCACACTCACCAACGCAACGGCAAGTCAAGTGGCAGAGAGAAAGAACTCTGTGTGGAGAGGGGTTTTATAGGGGGTTGGAGTAAGGGGAGGAGAAAGGATTGTGGGCCCTGCCGATTGGCCAGGCGCAAGTCGGTGTCTTGTTACACAGGACGTGGTCATATCTATGGCGCGCACTTCCCTTGATTGTCATTGGTTAGTTTAAAGAAGTCCTGGGTGTGGCTAGCAGAGGCTTGGGCTTCCAGGAAGAAACTCCTTGCCAAGCACATGGCTGCCCAAAAATGGAGCATCCAGGGTAAGATGGAAGGCATAGCCCTTACCCTGGGGCAAGATGGAGGGCGTAGCCCTCGCCCTTTCATCTCACAAGATCTAAATATGAGAATAAGATGTTAAAAAAGAATGGAAATGAAGATCACTGAAGTTGGAAAGAATAAAGAATTATGAAACTACTGTGTTGGATGAATGGCCTACCTAGTCACTGAAGTCATCCAAAATGATGGTGGAATTTGGAATGGACAGAAAACTGATAAAGAAATGGCAAAGGCTTTGATCAGCAAACAGTAAGCAAAAGGGAGACAGTAATAAAGAGAAAAGATGAAGAAGAACAAATTTCAAAGGAAGAATTTTTATGTAAGAATGAAAAAGCAATTAATTTGGAATTTGAAGTGGGCTGATTCAACTTCTACTTGAAGGCAAAAAGACATGGGAGAATGAATAGTCCTTACTCTGAATGGCACCAAAAGAAGTGGTAGGCCAAGAGAAAGCGGAGATTAAGGAATGAGCGGGGTGTTCTATAAAAAAAGTATTTGTCCACTCATCTGCTGATGGGCACTTAGGTTGTTTCCAAATCTGTGCTGCTATGAACATAGGGGTGCATATATCCATTTTTTTAAAATTTATTTCTTTATTGATTTCAGAGAGGAAGGGAAAGGGAGAGAACGATCGAAACATCAACAATGAGAGAGAATCATTGATCGGCTGCCTCCCGTTTACAATAGCTAAGATTTGGAATCAACCTAAGTGCCTATTAGCAGATGAGTGGATTAAAAGACCATGGCACATCTACACAATGGAATACTACGCTCCTATAAAAAAGAAAAGAACTTTTACCATTTGCAACAACATGGATGGAACAGGAAAGCATTACGCTAAGCAAAATAAATCAATCGGACAAAGATAGATATCACATGATCTCACTCATATGTGGGATATAATGATCAACATAATTTGATGAACAAAAATAAATCCAGAGACAAATGGCACAGGAGGTGGGTGTTAGAAAGCAGCCAAAGGACTTGTATGCATGCATATTAGCATAACCGATGGACACAGACACTGGGGCAGTGGGGGCTTGCCCGGGGTGGGAACAGCTGGGGGGAAGAAGGAGACATATGCAAAACTTTCGACAATAAAAAAAAGTTTTTGTAAAGAAATTTATTTACATGAGAATAAGCCTCAAGCACCAAAGGACTCCATACAAAGTAGTGAAAAGAAAGTCAGGAGGAAGAGAAAGGACAGGTGAAGGTCAGAGCTATATAAAGAAGGGAACACAAGAAAATAAAATAACTGGAGATGTCTGCATATGAAACAGAAGTAAACAGCTGAATACAAGTATGCTGAAGAAAATTCATATTTGAATACAAAGGCAATAATCCTATAGAATATTTCCTCTCTTTTACCTAAGGCCCAGGCTCCTGTCTTCTTATCCAAATTTAGATTCAAATCTGTGTCCTCTAGTGAAATATTGACTAGTTGATCCTTTTAAGCTTCAACTGGGGTAGCAGTTCCTTTCAGGACTGTAAATACCAAATAACGGCATGAATTGGTCTAACCCACTGGTTCTCAACCTTCCTAACGCTGTGACCCTTTAATATAGTTCATGTTGTGGTGACCCCCAACCATAAAATTATTTTCGTTGCTACTTCATAACTGTAGTTTTGCTACTGTTATGAATCGTCATGTAAATATCTGATATGTAGGATGTATTTTCATTGTTACAAATTGAACATAATTAAAGCATAGTGATTAATCACAAAAACAATATGTAATTATAAATGCGTTTCCCGATGATCTTAGGCGATCCCTGTGAAAGGGTCATTCGACCCCCAAAGGGGTCGCGACCCACAGGTTGAGAACCACTGGTCTAACCCAATACTTAGAACTTGTAGGCACTAATAAACACTAACTAAACTATTAAATTCTTAAAGGCAGGAACACAGCAAAAGTGACAGGATACCACTTAGATCATAGTAATGAAAGGAAAAAAAATGCTACAAGCCGCCTGTTTTATCTCAACTCCCCAGGCTCCCCCTCCCCAGGCTTCCCCCCCACCCCGCTAGAGACGCCAGGGATGGGGAACAAAGGGAGTGCAGGCCTTGAGGCTGCCCTCGGAGATAGCCCTGCTCACAAGCGGAAGGCTGAGTAAACAGAGCGCCAATCA